GTACCGTGTGACAGGGATCTATGCAGCAGATACTCAAGTGATTTTACTCGGACATTCGCACAAACACGAACCCATATTCTTCGGCAGTGAAGTTCCACATAAACCATAGACTGACACACATTTTGCGTTCATACACATTTGAGATATTTGCACATATCGGACATCTGGACTTACATCCTTCTGAGGACCGTTTTCTCTGTAATTCTACTTTATCATTTGGGATTTGTACATCTGTGTATTTTGCATATTTACATATCTTAGTTTGAGCTGTTTTATTCAAAGATCAAGTTATAGTACCATTCAAAATGGTTGAAAGGGGTCAAAATACATCAGATTTATTTACGCCATTAGTTGGGAGGGGTAGAGGTCTGTACAGAGTGGGGGAGGGTACAGGAGTCGTACCAAAGCTGTTGTTCCCAAGTACTTTTTCAGCCCCAGAGGTAAGCCCCCGTCCTGAGTTGGCACAGCCAGCATGCTCGACTCCTTCCGACAGTAACAACAATGTTACACAGCAGTTACGAGAGTTAATAGGGGAACTGGGTAATCAGTTTGGCGAATCCATAGTCAGCCGCTTATTAGCCAGTCAAAATGTGGCCAGCCCTTTACCCACAACGACATCAGGGTTAACCAAGTCAGAGCCCTCACTTGATTCTTCTAAAGTCAGTTTCATAGTGAGGTCAGATATTAAAGAACCACCCATGTTCAGAGGAGACGAGAGTGACAAGTACACCGTCCAAGAGTGGATAGATGTTATGGAACTGTACTTGCAGAAAAGTAGCTGCCCTGAAGCGGAGAAAGCAGACACTGTCTTGAGTCATCTCCTGGGAAGAGCTAAGGAAAGCCCTGTGGGTGAGATTGAACTCCACTGCTGAGCGTGCCAATATTAATTTAGAACGCAATGGGAGTAACATGGAGACATGGAGAACAGAAGTGGCCATGATGTTCATACGAAATTGTCCTGACTCTGAACTATCCAGTGTGTTTAAGTGCAAGCCCATGAGCAGATGGTCCATCGAAGAGATTCAGGAGGCTATTGATGAACATCAGAGGGAAAGTCAATGTCGCAGAACTCCCAGTACAGTTAAGCCCTGCACCTTCCAAGTATCGACAGCTAAGGCAGTCCCTAGCTCCGAGGAAGTTGTGGAAGGTGAGATCACTGCCATTAACACTGCAGCATGCATCTCTAATAGCCATCTTGAGGCAGCCAAAACAGTCCCATCTAATTCTGATGCATTGGAGCGTGTCCTTAGCATGTTGGAGAGAGTGTTGGAGCGAACCAGTCAGCCTGCACACAGCTCTTCAAGGTCCTTTCAGACACACAGGGCTCGCTTCTCATCTTGCC